CCCGGGACGGGTGGGTACCCGTCTCAATACCCCGGACCCGTTATGATCATGTGACCCATAAATTAAACAATGTAATATGTTATTCTTTCATGATAAAAAGGCTGTTTTGAAGATTTATACATAATTACAGTCACTTCTTTTGAATATAATAATACATGGTTAAGGTATTGAAAAGATTTTGCCTCCGAGCTGAAAAATATATTGGCATTTCTTACAAATTTGATATCAGGAATTAACATAACGGATATCCTGGTAGGGTAGGGTAATAGGGGTGGGGTACCCGGGTAGAAAATTTGGACCCGACCCATCCCTAATTAAAAACACATTTTCAGCCACCAAATAAAACATTTCTTTGCTGGGCAAGGTTATTGTGTTAACAAATATAATCCATTTATTATTCAGGAAGATGGGTCCTGATAGCATACTCACTCACTCACTCACTCACTCACCCACCCAAACAGGGAAACTACGGCTTTGCGAAACATTATATAATAAATTCACCTAATCCCTTCAGCGCTCTGGTCTAAGGGAAGCAACTCTTCCCGTACCTGATCTCCAAGTCCTCGTAAACACAGTTGGTCAAAGTGCATGATGAAGGCCTCACAACGAAGGTGACCGTCACTTCAGAGTGATTCCTGGACTGATTCATTTGTGGGAAAATAGTGTTCTGGTCTCAGGTCTAGGAGCTCTTTTTGGAAGAGATCGACATGTCCGACACTTTCGACACTGAAAGCACAGGTAATGTCTATACGTTTCTGATTGTCTGTCTTTCACAATCTGAACCAAGTATATCCAGTAAGGACGGGAGGCACATCAGAGTGGGTGGGGTGGGTAGGATGGACGGGATGGACGTCAAAGTGGGTGGGGCGGGTAGGATGGAAGGGATGGACGTCAAAGTGGGTGGGCGGGTAGGATGGACGGGATGGACGTCAAAGTGGGTGGGGCAGGTAGAGTGGAGGGAGGGACGTCAACGTGGGTAGGGCGGACAGGAGGGACGTCAAATTGGGTAGGGTAGGTAGGATGGACGGGATGGACGTCAAAGTGGGTGGGGCGGGTAGGATGGACGGGATGGACGTCAAAGTGGGTGGGGTGGGTAGGATGGACGGGATGGACGTCACAGTGGGTGGGGTGGGTAGAGTGGAGGGGAGGGACGTCAAAGTGGGTAGGGCGGACAGGAGGGACGTCAAATTGGGTGGGGTGGGTAGGATGGACGGGATGGACGTCAAAGTGGGTGGGGTGGGTAGAGTGGAGGGAGGGACGTCAAAGTGGGTAGGGCGGACAGGAGGGACGTCAAATTCGGTGGGGCGGGTAGACTGGAGGGAGGGACGTCAAAGTGGGTGGGGCGGACAGGAGGGACGTCAAAATGGGTGGGAAGTGGGTAGGATGGACGGGATGGACGGGATGGACGTCAAAGTTAAAAGGTGGGGCCGGTAGGATGGACAGGATGGACGTCAAAGTGGGTGGGGCAGGTAGGATGGACAGGATGGACGTCAAAGTGGGTGGGGTGGGTAGGATGGACAGGATGGATGTCAAAATGGGTGGGGTGGGTAGGATAGACAGGATGGACGTAAAAGTGGGTGGGGCGGTAGGTAGGGTAGACAGTAGGGACGATAAAGTGGGTGTGGCTATTAGGATAGAGGGTAGCGACGTCTTAGTGGGTGGGGCGGGTAGGGTAGAGGGTAGGTACGTCAAAGTGGGTGGGGCGGGTAGGGTGGAGAGGAGGGACGTCAAAGTGAGTAGGGCGGGTTGGGGAGGGACGCCAAAGGGGTGGAGGGAGGGACGTCGAATGGGTGGGGTGTGGATGGGAGGGACGTCAAAGGGTTGGGCGAGTAGGAGGGACGCCAAAAAGGGTGGGAGGAGAGGGACGTCGAATGGGTGGGAATGTGTGGACGGGAGGGACGCCAAGGGGTTGGGCGAGTAGGGAGGGACGCCAAAGGGGTGGAGAGAGGGACGTCGAATGGGTGGGGTGTGGATGGGAGGGACGTCAAAGGGGTGGGGAGGGTGTCGAATGGTTGGAGGAGGGACGTCAAAGTGGGTGGGGTAGAGGGTAGGGACGTCGAAGTGGGTGGGGCGGGTAGGGGAGTGTCGTCAAAATGGGTGGGGCGGGTAGGTTGAGGGGATGGGGCGTGAAAGTGGGTGGGGTAGAGGGTAGGGACGTCAAAGTGAGTGGGGCGGGTAGGGTGGAGGGGAGGAAATTTAATTTGACATAGAAAGTACGATCATTTTCGACAATTTACTAGGCTAAAGAGAGTCAGACACTTCAAATTTCTTAACAACAACTTTGATACATGTATCAAATACTCACCATAGAGTACTCATTAAAAATAGGATTGGGACGAGTAACCCGGATACCCGGGACGGGTGGGTACCCGTCTCAATACCCCGGACCCGTTATGATCATGTGACCCATAAATTAAACAATGTAATATGTTATTCTTTCATGATAAAAAGGCTGTTTTGAAGATTTATACATAATTACAGTCACTTCTTTGAAATATAATACATGGTTAAGGTATTGAAAAGATTTTGCCTCCGAGCTGAAAAATATATTGGCATTTCTTACAAATTTGATATCAGGAATTAACATAACGGATATCCTGGTAGGGTAGGGTAATAGGGGGTGGGGTACCCGGGTAGAAAATTTGGACCCGTCCCATCCCTAATTAAAAACACATTTTCAGCCACCAAATAAAACATTTCTTTGCTGGGCAAAGTTATTGTGTTAACAAATATAATCCATTTATTATTCAGGAAGATGGGTCCTGATAGCATACTCACTCACTCACCTACCAGTCACCCAAAACTGAGAAAACACGCTTTGTGAAATATAAATATGATAAATTCAACCAAGAAGATCGGCCATGATAGCAAACGAAAATGCAAGCAATATGCAATTTTGAACATTTCAGATGAACAAACTGAAGAAACATTTACTAGAAGAGCTTGGTTACGTTAGATTGAAAAGCGTTACATTGACGGCGCAACTGAACATGCATGTATTTGGACCAGGGAAAAGCTTCGTGTTTTACATGTCCCTACACAGGATATCTACCATCGAAGCACACAGGTGTGGACACCGTTTAATCATACGTATTGTCCTTTACAAACGGTACCATTTACCTCTCTGTATATACACATGGACAATGTATAAATATGCACAAAAAATATAAATGAAAGTCAGTTTATTTACAAAACAACAAGGTTCATCAACACATTCATCAGCGATTTGATTTAATTATTATTTACATAAAGATGATCACTTAAGCATCTATTGCAATTTAGAATTTGACTATCCATATAACGTGTTCCAAAAATGCCACTTAAAGACGTTATGCATTACGTGTTTGCAAAACAATTTACTAATCGAAAGATATGGATATCTGCTCTGTTGATTGCATAGATTCGAAAGGATATATATAAATAACGGTTGTTTACATTCCTTGAAAACCCGACGTCAAGAAACCACGTGACCGACGTGACACACGACAACCAGGAACTGGTTGGCAGTCAGTCGATTTACGGTGTTGTAATAGTGGTAAGTCTCACGTTACTATAACACAGTACAAACAAACAAACTTATAACTCTACCTTGGATTTTAGCAAGGATTTCGTTTCACTGTTGGATGTTATTTAGTGGTGAGTACGGGTGGTATTTCGCTTTTGTTTTAGCACAAGTGAGGACGGGACCTGTGAAGATCCGGGTTAGAATTGATCTTCAGCAACCTTTGCTTGTCGTAAGTGGCGACTGACGGGATCGGGGTGTCAGGTTCACTTGCCTGGTTGACACATGTCACGGTATGCCCATTGCATAGATCGATGTTCATGATGTTGATCACTGGATTATCTGGTCTAGACTCGATTATTCACAGACGGCCGCCATATAGCTGGAATATTGCTGCATTAAACAACAAACCAGACTAATAGTGAGGACAGAGCTTTCGCTTTAATACAGAAAGTAGACTTTGCATCAACATATGTCTTTCTATTGTGTCAGGGTGTTGAAATTTCAAAATTGAAAATAACTACCCATCTCTGTGCTGCTGTGCAAAGTGTTTCCTAACACGGATTTATGTTAACACGGAATTATATTAACACGGAACTAATATTAACACGGATTTACAACAAATTTATAGTACTGTCAATCATGGCTTTGTGGTGATGTACATGCATTCACCAGAGTTATGTTCCTTTAAACATCGTGTGTTGTGCAATGTATGTATGTGCGTGCGTGCGTGCGTGCGTGCGTGTGACTTACTCTACAGATTTCACGGAACTAATACATCTAGAATTGTACATACGTTTTGATTATGTGTTAGTTTAGATCCATGCGTCCCTCAACATTCACTGCTTAAAACACTCGTATGTCATCAGTGACATTACTCATTCACCGTTAGAAAATGAAACAGGATATTAAAGCGTTTCAACTCACGCCTCATGCATACTGAAATTAACACGTAAAGGAAACGACTTTGTCGTTCTGGTTTCAGTTTGAATCCAATCAAATTATTGTCCATCAATACGCTTTATGATTTAGGTCATTGATTAAAAGCAATATTTATGAACCTAACAGATTGGGTGGGCATTAATCTTCTAAATCATGATGAATAACTTGTGCAATCATGAAAAGCATTTCTTTACCTATACTGAAATAGTTTCTAGGTGGATGCAGATGGGATGTTTAGGGTTAGACAAATAAAATGTTTTTCCTTGATATACGTTACTCACTGTTGTGTACATGTATTGCCAACAGATTTGTGAGTCTAAAGGCATAAGAGTTATCCCCCTTCCCTACACCGGCACTGGCGAATGCACCTTTCTCCTTCAATTCGTTCCACGAGGCGTCTTCTGTCGTCACTTATTTTCAATCTGACGATGCATGTCACATTCAGGTGTTACGCCAACGAATGTCGGGGTTAAAATGCCCATTTACCGCTTCTTCCGTTTTATTAAAACTACAAAAGTAGCACTTGTATTTCTTTAACCCTTACGTTTTACTACAGATGGCGACTGCCAAGAAACTGACAGACAACCACCTCACCTGTGTCATCTGTACCGAGGTGTTCACAGACCCTGCCACACTTCAGTGTAATCACACATTCTGTAAGTCTTGTCTGCTAAAATACACCAACACACAGCCTGATGCAATACAAGCCAAGTCCATCCCATGTCCCTCCTGTAGACAACTGACGAAGGTGACCACCCCTGACAGTCCAGTAGAGGAGTGGGTCAGTCAGCTGAAACCAAGCCATGTCATACAGGGGCTGATGGACGACTTTGGACCAGAGAGCAAAGGTAACCAATTGAGAGTTTAATTTTAAGTTTTTGTTGTGGATTTTTTGCTTTGCTTTCCTGTAAACTGCATACATAATTCGAAATCTATTTAGGAAAGTTTGATAGATTTTTTCTTCATTCACATTACATTTGAAACACCATCGTATGCCTATAAGATAAAAAATTATCAGACTGAGTACAATGTAATGGGTTTTAATAATTTCCAATGCATTCCAATATCCAGAACAAAAAACCACCTTGCTCTTGGTCATTACAGCGGCCCATGTAAATATCTGCAGTGTTTGCAAAACACAAGAGAAGACAACTCCTGCCACCTCGTGGTGCTCCGTCTGTGACGAGGTCTTCTGTGATGGATGTCTGAAGATGCACAACATGATGTCAATGTCACGTAACCATGAAGTTGTGGGTTTGTCTGATACCACCAAAAGAAAAGCCAAGCAATGCTTCATGTGTAAATCCCACAAAGACGAACAGATTAAGTTGTTCTGTAAGGATTGTAGGACGGCCATTTGTCATACATGCTGCAGTATAAAACACAGGAAATGTGACGATGTTGATACTTTAGATAATATGACCCCTGTTGTCAGAGAACACCTGTCAAATCAAAACCAAGATGTGAAACTCAAAATGACAACTTCAGAAAAGAGAATTATCTTCAAGAAATCTCAACTTGTAAAAACAGAGTCTAATGCGCAAAGTACCATGGAGGAAATCAGGCAATTACGCCAGAAAGTGGTAGAAGTGATTTTACGGAAGGAGAAACAACTCCTTGATAAAGTTGATCGGTTTTCCAATAAACAATTACAGGAATTACAAGCGGAAATGAAATACCAGGAGATTGAGCTGCAGATGTACCAGCAACAGTATGAGTTCACAGCCAATGCTGTCACGTCCAACTGTGAGATGGACATGTATGCCATCTATGAGTCGGTGGGTGAGGAGTCGACAGACAACGGAGACACGGACAACCGACCAGCACCAGGAAGGGCTGTATTTACTCACGACATGGACAAGCTGAGTAAAGCAGTAGATGAACTCCAGCTTGGGGAGGTTGATGTTGTTTGTGATGTTAGTGACGTTAGTGACCGCCAGTCTACCCCTGTTCTACATCACACTATTGACTGTAAGGCAAATGAAAATGACAGTGGGGAGCCTTATTTGTATGACGTCACAGTGTTGACTGTTGATGGTATAAAAGTAACAGTAGTTGCAGATTACACTAACAACAGCATCAAAACATATCAAACATCAAAACAAAACACACTAAGTAATCGTCTATTTGTTTCCAATTGTCCTCGTCAAATAGCAAAGCTAAATGAGAGTCGGATAGCTGTCAGTGTTCCGGGCAGTCATGAAATAGTTACAGTGGATGTTACTCCAGATCCTGTATTGCTGTCAACTATCAAAACAACTAAAAGGTACTACGCTCTAGCCTGTCTGAGTCCTTCACAGCTGGTTGCAGGTACAGATGGACAGTCTCACTCTGTGCACATACTGGACATGACAGGGAATATACTGAAGTCTATCAACACGGGTGTCATAGAGAATCCGGACCGTATCCATGTCACCAGTAATAACAACTTGATAGTCAGTGATGGATCAGTAAAATCCCTCGTATCTGTGACCAGGGAAGGAGAAGCTGTTTTCACCTACACACCCACAGGGGACAGAGCTTTGAGATGGCCATGTGGTATCACAACAACCAGCACAGGAGATATCCTGTTTGTAGCCTGCCACTCCCACAAGGTGATTCAGCTGACAGAGTCAGGGCAGTTTGTCAGAGATGTCCTCACACAACAGGATGGTCTGAAATATCCCCGTGGTATCTGTGTTGATGGAGACGGGTTTGTGTATGTTGCGTTTATGCGATATGTAAAGGTATTCGAATTTAGAAAGTGAGGCGTGGTTCAAATGTGTGCATAATTCAATCACACAGTACACTTTCTGTTGCAGGTCAACTTCACGTATTGTTTATGGCTTCTAATGTAATTCACAAAGTTAGGACATTGACGAAACGCTAGATCTCATGTATGGCAATATATAATCTCAATCACAGGCATGAGACAATCGTTGATGAAGAAAGCAGTAACAGACATTTGTTATTATGCTTCTATTATTCATTATGTGATGGTCTCCGTAAAATATATATGAGTTTCTACGTTTATGTATATGTGTTATGAAATATTCAATAAAAATTGTGCAATATAACACATTTAGTGAATCATATTCGCTATATTCTATGTAGCCTGCGTGAGATTAATAACCATATTGTGACCCCCTGGCCACAAAACCAAAGTTCAAAGTATTTCGTACTTACGTTACTCCTTGCGGCCATGCAGTGGACCAGGTTTACCACTTTTACTTCCAAGAAGATAGAACTTATTTTGGTGTTTAATTTTCAGAACATCCACACCAGTTCAGGGGAGTTGGGTAGCTAAGTGGTTAAAGCGTTCACTTGTCACACTGTCGACCCAGATTCCCCATGAGGTTACAATGTGTGAAGCCCATTTCTTGTGTCTCCCGTCCTGATATTGCTGGATATGTTGCTATAACGAAACTCACTCACTCACTCCACACCAGTTCCTCGCCGGCCATCATTTATCTGAATAACTGCAATACATTTCACAAGTTGAACAGAAGCTCCCTACCACAGAACCTAGAGCTTGTATGGAAGTCACGAAGACATAAGGGCTAAGATCGCTGTGTGGAACAATGTGCGGTTGTACAAAACAAACTGAGCGCTACAACTGTCGTAAGTCAATGTTAAGGTGTGGGAGTCACGATCACCTGAGGGCTAAGATTTCTCTGTAGAACAATGTGCGGTTGTACAAAACAAGCTGAGCGCTACAACTGTCGTAAGTCAATGTTAAGGTGTTGAAGTTATGATGACTTTAGAGCTAAGATCGCCCTATGGAACGGTACTAGGCTCCTGGTCAAGGGATCTTGAAAGAGATAATATTTCAATGAGGTTTATACCATAAGAGTTAACACAAAACAAAAACTTAAAGTTATCTTCATGATCCTGAAGTCTGGTCACCAATCAGGACCATATCTCCCCTGGAACTCTGCATGCGTACGTACGAGTGCGTGTGTGTCTGTGTGTGTGCGTATGCTAGTGTACGTGTGCGTGTGAAAAGTTGCGAAAAAGCACTAATTCCCACTTGTCACTAGATTGTCAGGGTTAGGGTTAGGGCGCAACAAAAGGAATGTTCGCCATTCTTCAGTGTTTGTTGTATGTTTATTGCTCAATGCCTCACCAAGAAATAATCAATTTTGTGATAATGGCCTGATGACAACTGAGTCTGGACCAGACAATCAAGTGATTTACATTACATCAATGAGAAATTTGTATGGCTTGATGTGCATTCTCCACTAAGTGGGACGATTTTGGATATGTAACATTTCAAAATGTTTCTTCCGAATATTATTAGCTTTGTCTAGAACAAGACATAAGATATCTGGAACAATAACTTAATGACCAAAATCTGCCTAATATTATTTTAACCAATGCCTTAAATGGTGTATATCAAATGTCAGAAACTCAGATACGTTAACACGGTACATAAATTATGAAAAAATACTGCTTTGAAAGTGTAAATAATATGTTCTTTAAAGCATTGGTGTTGAGTTTGTGAATGTGTTGTTAATCATATTTCATCACACATTATATCTAGGATTGAAAGAGTTAGGATATAGGTAGGGATATAGGGTAAATATGATGAAGACATAAACTTTCGGACCATTTAAGAATTTTATAGGTATTTGTCGTTTTAAATCACAACCTGACTGTCTCCGGACGTGAGGTGCGATATTGATGCCAAGACAGTTGAAGGTATTCTCATACTGGTGGACTAAGTAAAACCACTGCTTCTAACGGGCGTATTTCAGGAACATGAACATATAAAATTGATTAAAAAATTAAAGTATCTGATGTAGTTTTCATTCTATTGTATTGTATTATTGTATTATTAAAATGCCTTCAAACATGTTTCCATGACATAACACAACTATTAGGAACAAAATACATATTATGAGATTAGATATCCTTTACACCTGCGACATTGAGACTGACGATGCATGTTTAACGAATCTGATGGTCATCTTTCCTTGTGTGTTTATTTTTAATATCACTTTAACACAACAACATCAACTCAAACAACCATTAACATTGTAATATGAAACATTTAGTGTTCTCAGCTAAACGCCTGCGACACTGAGACAGAAGATGCCTGTTAAGTATGTGATGGACATCTCTCATTGTTGGATATCACTTTACAACAACAAAATCAACTCAAAATCCATCGTCGGATAGTACCTTAACTAAATATTAACTCAAACAACCATTAACATTGCAATGCTACTGGACAATGTAACCATATATAAATTATTTCACAAAATCATTAGACAAAAAATCCATCATCAGATGTAGATACGTTAACAGTATTATCAGATACGTGGAATAGAGTTGCGCTAACTTGTCAAGAGTTACATTAGTCACTGTTTAATTTATAGAAAGTAGATCGGAGCATGACCACATTAACACTCATTGATAAATGTAAATGTTTTATAAACGTGATCTAACAAACAAAGGGAATAATACCAAGTTACATCAAATACGTTAACATACAGAAGGCTACGTTAAATATTTTTGTTAGCGTTTGTCACAGAGAGGGTTCAGTCTAAGCCTTCTAAGACACATTCAATGAAAATACGATTATAAATGTATACGAACATAATTATCTAGGTGATCCGATACGAATAGTTTATCCTCACTAGAGAACAGGCTAGTCCACACACACAATGGCGCAAAGTTCCAACCCTGTGCTTAAACTGGAAACACACGTAAATACACGAATACCCGAACAATTCTGAGTGGAAAGTAAAGACTATCATGTATATGCCGATGTAATCCGAATGAAAATAAAGTCATCCTTGTTTGTGGTTAACGTATCTGATGAAATCTTATCTGATGACCACTAACGTAAACACCAGGTCATGTGTTATATACTGGGGATGATTGAGGCAAGTATTTGATACTGTCCTCCATGAGACCCTAAACCCTACCATTATTGTAATGGTTGTTGTCAAATCAACTAGGTCTAGTTAACGTATCTTTTGGATGTTTGCAATATCGTCAAGCTAAAATCGTCCCACTTAGTGGATAATGGGTGTAAAGCATTCGCTTGTCACGCCAAAGACCTAGGTATAATTCATGGGTACAATATTAATGAAGCCTATATATGGTGTCCCCTGCCGTGATATCGCTGGAAAACTACTAAAACCGACACATAAGCTACTCTCACTCACCAACTCGCGTCACTGTCACCTATCAGATCTCATTGCCTACTTGCCCTTCCTTAAACCATGACGACTGTCACCCGAAACGTCGAGTTCATCCATTTTCTACGTACATGTGGGTGGGGCGGGGGAGGGAGGAGGGAGGGACGTCAGAGTGGGTGGGGCAGTAGGGGTGGACGGCAGGGTCGCCAGAGTGGATGGGGCGGAGGTAGGGTAAAGGGGGAGGGACGTCAAAGTGGGTAAGGCGGGCAAGCTGGACTAAAAGGACGTCAGAATGGGTGGGGCGAGGTAGGGTGGACTGGGAGGGACGTCAGAGTGGGTGTTGAGGTAGGTTGGCGGAGAAGGATGTCAGAGTGGGTGGGGCGGGTAGGGTGGACGGGAGGGACTTCAGAGTGGGTGATGAGGGTAGGTTGAAGGAGAGGGACGCGAGAGTGGGTTGGGTGAACAGGGGAGGGACGTCCAAAGGTGGAGTAGGGCAGGTAGGTTGGACAGGAGAGAAGTCAGAGTTAGTGGGGCGGGTTGGGTGGTCAGGAGGGACGTCAAAGTGGAGTAGGGCGGCTAGGAAGGACGGGAGGGACGTCAGAATAGGTTGGGCGGGTAGGGTGGACGGGAGGGACGTCAAAGTGAGTGGGGCGGGTAGGGTGGACGGGAGGGACGTCAAAGTGAGTGGGGCGGGCAGGGTGGACGGAAGGGACGTCAAATTGGGTAGGGCGGGTAGGACTGATGGTGTATTCCCATACTGCCTACAGTTCCAAACTGCCTACAGGTTAAAACAACATGATACGGTCCAGTGATCAGGAAGTGAATACACCGATCTGACCTGTTCTACCCCTGCTAAAATGAACTTAACTGGTTAGCTGGTTCTATGGTGTCTTCCCACTCTGCCTACAGAAGTTTACCAAGTGTTGGTTGGTAGGACATCTTTATTCATTCTGAGAATTCTCAGACTTTACATGGAGACCTGGATTTATCATGAAAAACTGATAGGTTTTACAGTCTTTCAGTGGTTTTACAGTCTTTCAGTGGTTTTACAGCCTTTTACTTGTTTCACAATTACACACAACTGACAATCACTTTGCAAACTTGATGAGATGTCCAGCAGCATCAAGGTACTGAAGAGGCGTTTTTCTGCCGCTCTGGAGGTGCTCCTTCAGTCTCAGAAGTCTGTCATCGAGCTCTCTGTAAACACGCTTGCGTGACTTGGGGAGGACACCACAGTCGAGCTGAGCACGTTGAGCTTTGTCTACGGTTTCGATTTTCTTGATGTTGCAGATGAAGAGGTAGATGTTTGGGTGGGCTTTGGCAATAAGGTTTTTCAGCCTCAGGTGCCACCCCTCAAGGTGGTTGTTAGTCCGCGGGCCAATATTTCCATACTGCGTCCAGATTCGTACCGGAAAACAACCTCTGACAACTCTTCATAGTACAGCTGCCGAATGGATGTGGCGTCCTCCTGTACACGCTGACGCAGTCTGCCAAGGAGTCGAATCTCATCTTCAGATTCCACTGGGACATGGTTGTGCGGTGTTGTTGATTTCATGAAGTCTCCAGTTGTAGAACAGCGGCCTTTGCATTCAGAATGTACACACTTCAAATGTGTTGTGTTCTGTCGTCTGACGTTGAGGCGATATCGGTCCCCAGCAGAGAAAACTTGCTGTCCTCCTGCTTGAGAAGTGATGAATTGAATGCGTTGAACATTTGCCATTGTGTGATGG